TAAAGGTGTCCCAGACAGGAGATCTGCTTCTGAACTCCAGAGTTGAATGGAGGCCTGAGCTTCCGAATGAAGTGGGGGTGGCCCAGCTGAGGAGTGTGGGGGTGATGAAGACGAGGCTGGAATGCCTGAGGGTGGTGCAGGGAGACCATGGCCACAGAACAGTGAGAGGTAACAGTGGCCCAGGGACAAGAAATACGGCTGTGTGACTGTCAGCGGTGTTCAGAGGATGCCTGGATGCTATCGCTGAATGGGCAGCTAAAGGTGCCCGGATGCAGGACCCCACGTGGGTGAGCCCACAGGTGGCGGCTGCTCAGCCTGGCCCAGCTTCTCTGAGCTTCCCAGGGCAGCCAGCCATCTGTGGCCTCGGCATGTTGGGGCTCAGGCTGGCACGTGGCAGGTGCCCGTGCGTGTTTGTTGATGGAACGTGAGGGAGGGGCTTCATTTCACTCTTTCTGAAATTTACAACCGACCACTTGGATGGTCTTATAGTTCATTACCAGCGTGAGGGTCAAGCCTCATTTCAGTATCACAGCAGGTCAGTTTTCTCCAGGCCGCCCGTTCATGTCTGGCTTCCTTCCTGGGGAATCTGAGGATGAATGAGATGTAGAGGGAATCTGTACTGTTACTTTGATGGCTGTAGTTCGGCATTAGCATCTCAGATGTTTGAAGAGTATGTGACAAGCTATGTCACACCCCACTGTAGGGAATTCATGACATTTGGGACGTTTTATATTTCGAAGAGCACCTAAGCTCTGCATGAAGTCGGTGGAGTGCCATCGGCAGAGGCTGAGACATGGTTTACAGTACGGTGGCCTGCCTTCCCCCCAGCAGCACTGTCGACAGTTGCCTTGAAATGGGTGGGTTCTCCCCCTCCCCACACCCCCACGGAAGCTGGTGGTTCTGAACGGTTCATGTGTTGAAAATACAAAACTGCAGCAGGATCTGGTGAGGAAAAAGATCTGCTCTCTCCTGCAGCGCGGGCTCTGTACTGGTCACTGGTGTACTTGGCTCTGTTTCCCCGCCACCATGTCCTTCCCACTCCAGCTGGCTTGTGTCCAGTTCTTCCCTACCCCCGTAAATGGCACCCATTCATCACGTTCTTGAGCCTACAACCCAGCGGTCACCCTGGAAGCGCTTTCCTTTACTCCCACATCTCGGCACATCAGCAGGTCCCATGGATTCTTCCTCCACAGCTTGTTTGGAGCTTGCCCCCACCACCACCACCGTCACTGTCGTGCTAAGCCTCCTTCCTCACCCCCTGGGTGAGCGTCACCGCCTCGTCACTTTCCTCACCTCCAGACTTGCCCCTCTGCAGTCAGCTTTCCCAATTGTAACCAATGATCTTTAGAAACAAGTTTTTGTTTTTTAAGAAGGAAGTTTGAAATAGTCTCATACTTAAAGTGCAGTTACAAATAATAGTGCAGGGAACTCTCCCCACCCCTCAACTGTTTGAGAGAAAGTTGTTTTACGTGATGGATGCACCACGGCCCCAGATGCTGAGTGTGAATCTCTTCATATAGGGATGTTCTCCATAACCGCACACAGCCGTCAAGTTCAGGAACTTAACAGCAGTCCATCCCTGCCCTCTTGCCTCCATGCCCCACTGATACTTTCTTTTGTAGCAGAGGATCTGGTGCTCGACCCACGCACTGTGTTTCCTTGCCACATCTCTTCGGTCCTTTCATTCTCCTCTGTCTAAACCGACCTCCTGTTTGTCCTTGACTTTTGCAGCCTGGGGTTCTGAAAGGCCGTTGGTAGAATGCTCGCTCTCGTTGGCTGTACGCCATGCTCTTCCTGATCAGATGCAGACTGTGCCTCTTCGTCAGGACAACCCCGGACGTGATGCTGAACTTGGCTCTCTGGGTCCTGTCACTGGCTGCCATTACTTTGTCACATTATCAGTGGTGTTCATTTGCCAGACATCACCGTGACCTCACTCTTTCTCCTTCGTAGTTGATCAGTCTTTGGTGTGAAGCTCCAGGCAGATCTCATTTCTTAACAGGTTTTTAATTTACTGATGTATTTATTCCTATCAGTATGGACTCCTGGTCTCCTCTTTTAGTTAATGTGTTAGAAGCTGTGCCTGGAGTCCCTATTCACGCACTTGGCTACAAACTGAGAGGTTGCTGGTTGGAGACCTCCCCGGGGTGCCTGGGAAGAAAGGCGTGGCAGTGGGTTTGCAAAGGTCCCAGCTGTGGACACCCTGTGGAGCCCAGCTCTGCTCTGCGACACCTGGGATTGCCAGGAGTCGGGTTCACTGAAGGGCAGCTGGACAGTGCTTTGTTCTTTGATCTGTTGCTGTCACTCTGTTTTGCCGTACCGTCCTCCTTTGAGCATGTCCTTAGTAGGAATGCATGCAGGTGCACACACATTTATGTCCCCTTGGCCTGCTGGGCTCTGTCACCCGGGGCTGGGCCAGCTCCTTCCCCATGGCAGGGAGGCCCTCTTTGCCCACCTGAGGTGTTGACTGCGGTTAGAGCCCACAGGTATGCTTTCCTCTCCC